ATCATGGAGAATAATAGTCATAACAATAACTAATATTAATAGCATTAATTTATTATTTTACAATGCCAAGTGGAATACCATCATGATTGGCAAAATCCTCACCCATCCCTGAGTGACAACTATATTATTCTGATTTTACAGAGGGGGAGACTGAGGCACAGCTCAGAGCACAGCTGAGCTGGGCACCCAGAGAAAGGCAGTCCATGGGGTTGTGAGGCCCCTGTGGCTGAAGCCAGATGATATGCATCTGCCCCAGCCCTTCTTTCACAGGCCCAGACACTGCCTTTGCCCTGTGCTCCCTTGGGCAGTGAAGGAGAATGTGGGAAATTTTTTTGTGATCCCATTTGTGTATCTAACACTGAACAGTCACCTGGAGAGGTTGGTCAGAACCTTTCCAATTCCCAGGACCCGAGAGGCCAGGAGCAGAGGCTCAGAAAAACCCCTGCTCATGGGAGACACTATGGGTTCTCCAAGGAAGAGAGAAGATGTGCCACTGGTGTTTCAAGAAACTCCTTTATGTCTTCTCCTTAGCTACTCATTTACCCACTTATCCACCTATCCACCCACCCACTTATGTACCCAACCACTACCCACACATTTACCTACACACCTATCCATCCACCTTCCTATTTATCCACTTTCCAAACATACACCCATGCACCTACATATCCATATATCCATCTGTCTACCTATCTGCCTATCTATCCATCCACATCCATCCATGCATCTATCCATTCATGCATCCATCATACACTCACCATCAACCCATCTGTCTGGACATGCATCCATCCATCCATCCATCCATCCATCCATCCATCCATCCATCCATGCATCTATCCATCTATTCACATACACATCCATCTATCTGTTCATCCACCACCCCCAACATCTAGCCATCTATTTTCCATCCATCCTTATTCAGCCATATATGCATCCATCTATTCATCTACACATCATCCATTCATCCATCAATCATTCCATCTGACCCACTCATCCACACAGTTACATAAAGAAAATATTAGGAAATATAGCCAACCAGCCACTTTTATTTGCCAGTGACCCAGACCCAGTGCTGACATAGGGGTTAATCATGGTCTAGATGCTCAAGGTCTCTTAGCACTTAAGTTCTTAGCTAGATGCTCATTTAGCTCTTAGCAGGGCTCATGGGGCTGTAGTCTCAGAATTTCTCCAATGGGTGTAGAAGAGAATTCAGAGGTGCCATCTCTTGGTGATTGACCATAATCTCCATTCCCCTGCTGCCCACCTCGTGTGCACACACTGGACCAGAAACTCAACCACCACCACTCCAGAGATGCTCCTAGGACCAGCAAGTGACCTGCTCTCCTTTGCAGGGGCACATGGAAGATGCACACAGACATGCACACATGTGCACACACACAGGTAGAGATCCAAACCCACACATAGGAAGTTACCTGCTAGGATCTGCAGCCTTCTAAGTTCAGGACAGCTTTCCAAATTGAAAGGGGTGATGTGTGGCCAGGCCAAAGCAGAGAGGCCTGTCCCTCTCCTCTCCCCACCTGTCTTCCCTTGAACAAGCTCCTGGGCCACACAGCTTGTGAGCAACTCCCCTGCCTGCTTTTCTCCCCTCTCTGAGGACACAGGCAGTGACAGGGCTGTCCCAGTGAGGTGCAGAGACCCTGAACTGGCCTTTACTTATAATGGTGGCAGCGTCCCCATGATGGTCACACAGTGTGAAGGACACTGGCCTACTTGCCTGAGTGGCTCACCCTGATGTCCCCCTTGGTGACCCTGCTCAATGCACTTAGCTTCACAGGCAGAGGCACGGATTCGGTTTCTTCCCAGTTCACACAGATGACGCCCAGCCCTGGGCACCGGGAGACTTCTTTGACCCCCTTGGCAAACAGAACTCCAGAACCCAGATGCACGAGGGTCCCCATGGGACCTGCCCACAGGCCCCGGCCGTGCCCCTCCTGACCCTGTTAAGAAGACACACAGGCTGTGGGATGATACAGCAGACTCCGTATAAATAAAATATTCTTATAAAAATAGTCTCTTACAAAATATTCTCTCTTATCCAGTGGCTTACTTTCCAAACGATGAAAATAGCTGGGAGTTTATTATTGTTCCTTTCTCTGTCTATTCCAAACTAGATTATTATTATTTTTTTCTAATGGCAATATTTGAATTGGGAGGGCAGAAGATTGGGAAACATATTCTGGGGGGAAAAAGTGTCTTCGAACTTGGACCAACTTAAATTTCTGGATAAGTAGCAGCAAATAGCAAAAATTTACAAGTGTGTGTGCGTGTGTGAGTGTGTGTGTGGTGTATCTGGTAGGTATAAAGAATAAAGGATGTCTGCTTGTTGTACTTAAACCTCTAGTGCTGCAGAGGGAAGATACTTGCAAAATCAATTAGTAGAAACATCTGCATAAAGAATAACTATGTACAGTTCTACTCGGCTCCAGGTTCTAGGGACACAAATTATCCTGCCAGGAAAGCACAAGTCCACTTCGACTGCAGAAAACGGATCCTGACGAGGTGGAAGGATTCTTTTTAATTAAATAAATTAATATTATTTTTTTTTATCAGAATAAATTGTTAAATATTGCTCTGATGAGGCCCCAAAGGTCCGGAGTTCCGGCGAAAGGCTTCATTCCAGCCGTGCAGGGACGTGGGCGGTATCGGGGAGAAGCAGCACTGTACACAGACCGGAACAGGTGAAGGCCCGAGGGCTTCTTCCCACAGTGTCTGCCAGAAACCGGAAACCGGAAACCGGAAACAGGGCCCTCCGCAGCAGGAAAGACAAGCTCAGTGTTTCTGTGGCTCCCTCTGAAGATCAAGGCAGTGATCCGGAAGGCGACGGCAGCGTGGAGGCTGTCCCCGGCCCCGCGGTCAGGCGCTGGCTGGCCGGCTCACTTGCACGTATACATCTCCGTGCGCTCGCTGCACGTGTTGCACTTGACGTAGCAGCACCAGTGGAACTTGCAGTTGCACTGCCACACGCGGGCATACTGGTGGGTGTTGTAGCCTCGGCCGCAGCACATGAGGTCGCAGCCGCTGGCCTGGGGGGCTGTCTTGTTACAGGCTCGGCCCTGTGTGCCCACACTGCCCGTCACTGGGTCCTCCTCGCAGTAGTTGGGTGACTTCTCGATGTATACCAGGTCCGTGTCCATGGGCTTGCGGTAGGACAAGGGCTTCTTAATCTTCAGAAAGGTGGGCCGCTTGTTGCGGCTGGCACGCACAGGCTCCACGTGGACGGCCTCGTTGTACTTGTCTTTAAGCACGTAGCCCAGCTCCCTGAACTGTGGCAGCGTGGTCCAGCATGTCTTGGTGGTGCATGAGCCCGACACACCGTGGCACTTACACTCCAGCTTCATGTTCTCTTCCAGGATCTGCAGGTCGGGCAGGAAGAGCACAGAGACATCACTGCAGGCACCCACCTCCTGCAGCCCAGCTGACCCACCTGCCCCCCTCTGGCTGATGTGGCCTTGGTCATTCTTTGTGGTGCAGGAGACTCAGACCTGGATTCCAACCCCTCTTCCCTCCTCCCCTCACTCCCAGCCTAGTACTGGGCCTGGAACTCACCAGCTGGTACCAGGGCATGCATAGGCTCTCTTGGCTTGTGTTGGTCTAAGATCATTTTTTTTTTGTGTGTGTGTGTATGTGGGAAGGGTACTGGGGATGTAACCCAGGGCCTTTACACTGAAGTATACCCCTAGCTTTTTAATTTCTATTTTAAATTTTGAGGTAGAATCTTCCTAAGTGGCTGAGTTTCCCAGGCTGTCCTTGAACTTTCTGTCTTCCTGCCTGAGCCTCACAGAGTCTGAGGATTGCAGGTGTGAACCACCACACCCAGCTCTAAAATCAAGTCTGAGTTAATATTTTTAAAACCAGAAGATTCACTTTAAAAGAACAGACTTGTAGGTTTTCTTGGGCACGGGTCACCACTGGGGTGATAATCCAAATATTTTGTATTTGGTGCAGCTGGGCACAGATCTACAGAATGGTGCTGCCCCAAAGCCATTGTGTGACTGTGCCTCTGTGTCTGGCTCACTGCACAGTGTGTGCCCCGCTGGGGGATTTTGAGTACAGTGCAGACATCATATGCCTGCAGTGACTTGGCTTCTACCTCATTTCATGCACATAAGAAACAGGCTCAAGAGGTTCATAGGTGCCATGATCCTAGTGGGTCTGACCTGGGCACCGTCCATGTGTTGGTCCAGGCCAGAAGGGACGAATGGTGTTACCTGCGCTCCAGGGGCATGGTGGGGGCATTCACAATGAATGCAAACCACACAAACAGGAATTAGCCCTAAAGATATACTGGGGAAGCCAGGTATGGTGGCACACATCTGTAATCCCAGCATTCAGGGACAATTACAAGTCCAAGGTCACTCTGGGCAATGTAGTGACAGTGAGATACTATCTTAAAATAAAAAAGGGTAGGGGATATAACTCAGTGTAAAGGCCTGGAGTTCAATATTCAGTACCAAGAAGAAAAAGGAAAGAAAAAGGAAGGAAAGGAGGGAGGAAGAAAGAAAAGAGAAGAAAGATGGTAGGGAGGGGAAGAAGCTGGTCATGAAAGACTTCCACAGAATGATTTCACTCAATCAAGTTCAAAGGCAGGCAACATTGGATTGGGTTGGTTAGGGGTCCACCAAGGGAGACTACAATTAATGGAAAGAAACAAGGATCACAGATATCAGAGGGGAGAAGCTGTGCTGGGCTAGCTTTGCCCAGGGGTCTCCTGGTGTGGGAGCAACACGCCGCTCCTTGCTGTGGATGCTGGTTCCATGGATCACGCATTGCAGTTACTGTTTTAAGCAAATGTCAATGTGCTTTGTACTTTTATGCATGTAAGTGGTAGCTCATGATGTATAAAACTGTGATAGACAACAGTGGCCAATAAGCACATGAAAAGATATTCAGCATTGTTAGTCAACAGGGTGGTGCAAATCCAAATCATAATGAGCTCCCTCACACTGGTGAGAATGGTAGAGGTTGACAACAGTCAGGACTCATGGGGATCCAGAGAGATGAGGATCCTTACGCTGCGCTGACGGGAAGAGGACATGGTGTCCTCATCATGCAAAATAGTTTGCAAGTCATCCAAACTGAACCAGAGAGTCAGCCCATGACCCACAGTTCCCTTCCTTGATGTATAACTAGGTTAGATGAAAATGTACGTTCACATGAAAACCTGTTTGTGCGCGTTCACAGCAACACTGTTCATAGTAGCTAAAAAGTGGGACAGAAGGGAACCCCACAAATGTCTACCAGCTGACACACAGACAAACAAAATGTGGACTAGCTACCAAATGTAAATTTTATAACATATATTGTGGTCTAGCTCCTCTGAGAATTGGTTTTATCAAAAAGGCTGAAGTTAACAAGTGCTGTCGAAGGAGGGGACCCTTGTCCACAGTTGGTAGGGGGTTAGATGGGAACAGCTATTACAGAAATTTCTCAAAATAGTAAAATGAGAGCTGCCAGAGGAGCCAGCCCACCACTGCTGGGTGCACATCTAGAGGAGGACAAAGCTGAGGGACAAACAGCTACACTTGCTGTCCATGTGGCACGGCACATGAAGCTAAGACAGCCACAACAGGGAAGCCATTGAGCGCCCAGCAGCTGAGAAACGGATGGATAAAGACAGTGTGGACCTTATGCGCTACAGGATCTGGTTAGTGCTGAAGGAATGAGATGTTGTCATCTGCAATGACATGGAAGGAAGTGGAGATTATTATGTGAAGTCAAATAAGCCAGGCACAGAAAGGCCGAGGGAAGCCAAAGCAGCTTGTCCCCTGAAAACTAAGAGCAGACTGGGGATCACCACAGTGGGGAGGCTAGGGGAGGAGGTGATGGGTACTGAGTAATGATGGGTACTAAGTGATGGGCAGAAAAACAAGTTCTTGCACAGTTGGGTGGCTAAAGACAATGTCCTGTGCCTTTGTATAAGAGAGAGATTTTGAATGTTATCACCAAAACAGTTGAATGGCTACATTGCATGATATTGAATTGTACCTCAAGGAAGTTGTATTTTTAAAAGACACTGGTTCTACTAACCTGTTTTGAAACTGTCTCATTGCTACTTCTTTCTCAATAAAAATTAATATTAAAAAAAAGAACAGTGGGAGGCCCCAGAAGGTTTAAAAGTGAGAAAGCAGTGTGAATGTGGTGTGACTTGCGAGTCTGTGTCCCCAAATGTCAGTGTTGCCACGAGTGGGCTGCTAACCCTAGTACCACAGGCTGAGATGGGGTGGCTGCCGCTCCTGCTGCATGCAGCAGTGCCCTGCCTGGTGAGGTCACCCTCTTCCTCTGGGGATGCTGATTGCCTGAGGCTACAGTGATATTCAATGGGCCCTAATCGGGTGACAGGCAGCCTAACCCTGCTAACTCTGCATTCTGAGAGCCTCAGTGATCACATTATGTCCACAGTAAGCCGGTCCTAATCACAGCTGCCCGGGCCAGGACTGGTCACTCAGCAGGTACCCAGCCTTCTCCCCGAGCTGGGGAACAGCAGCAGAGGTGTATGTGGGTCAAGGCAGAAATAATATGCATCCCAGCTCCTACCCTACCTACTCTTCCTCCCTGGAGGGCTTGAACTCTGTGCTTCAGTATCTGGACCCTTCAATATCTATACCTTCCCAGGGCCTGGCACCCTGCAGAGTGTATTCAGACTACTCCACCGGCAGCCTAATCTGACCCAAGCAGTCAGCCATCAGATGTGCAGGCTCTGGAAGCCCTGCCAGGCCAACCAGGCACCAAGCCCACATTGCTGGGGGTGTGTGGCAGTGACCTTTGGGGACAGGGGCTGGGGAAGGGTGCTGCATTGTATGTGGGTGGTTATTTAAAGACCAGCTGTGTGTCATATAATAGAAGCTGCACACAGGGCTGAGGAGATAGCTCAGTGGTCTAAGCACCTGTGCGGTAAGCACAGGGACCTAGGTTTGATCACTGGCACTGCATGCAGCACCAGCCCTGCCCTGGACATGCAGAGCTGGCCATGAAACTGGGAGTGGTGGTACATGCCTGTAATCCCAGTGCTGGAGAGGCTAAAACAGGAGGATCACTTAGAGTCCAAGCTGAGTAGTGAGCCCCTGCCCTAAATACATTTTTTTTTTTTTTTTTTTTTTTAAAGCCAGGGACCAGGGAGATGGCTCAGTGGAATAATTGTTTCCCTGGCAAGCTCAAGGACCTGAGTTCAATCCCCGGTTCTCCAAAACACAAAAACAAAAACAAACAAAAAAGCCACACAGTATTTTCCATATTCTCCTCTCTTGTTTTGGCTGAGTGGTGCTCTGTGGTGGGAGAGCCTAACTGGTGGTCACAGTCTCTCTCTCTCTCTCTCTCTCTCTCTCTCTCTCTCTCTCTCTCTCTCTCTCTCTCTCTCTGAATTTCACCTAACAAAGTAATATGAATTTCACAGTATTTGTTGTAATACATATTGTTGTCTTCCAATCAGTTATTCTGATTACCAGACACGTGGAGATATATTACTGAGTTGAGGAGCGGCCACAGTCTCTTTCGCTCTCCTTTCTTTCTCAGTGTGAATGAGCCATGACAGAGCCCAACAGAGCCGCACCCTGCCCCAGGCCATGCTTTCCCTAGAACAGCCAGGCTCTGGTGCCTGTGGCCCTGCACCTGCTGGGCCTTATCAGGAGGCCAATCTTTATCACCCTGCCCACAGTCCCTGCAGATCTTGCATCCCACAGTTCTGCTACTACCTCGACCCTGCGACCCTGCAGGGAGGCTCACCCTGTTGCGCAGCCATAAAGAGCTTCCCAGAGCCGTATCTGCACTATCGAAAGGCTGGAGGAATTTAAAGATCCACCACCAGGATCTGTTTCTTCCAATGCTGGCAGATCTACCTTTGAATAGCCTGCCGCTGTGAGCCTCCAGGGGCTTGGGGAGTCTGGGTACCAACAGGGAGAAGAGACAAGCAAGACACATGTTGTTAGGGGACAGAACCAGATTGCAGGAGCCATATAAAGAAGGAAAGGCCCACTGTAATCCCAGAATTCTGAGAGGCTGAAGCAGGAGCACTGTAAGTTTGAACCAAGCCCGAGCGATTTAGTGACTTGGTGAGCTCTTTTATTTATTTAATTTTATTTTATGTATTTAGTAAAGGGTTTACAGGGTCCCACTACACAGATAGGACTCATAGTAAACCTTCCTGTTTTTCAGCCTCCCAAGTGCTGGGATTACAGGCACACACCACCACGCCCAGTCTCATTGCCTTCTCAGTGTGCCCTGGGGGTGGGGGCAGGGGTGGTACAGCATGTGGGGAATCAAACTCCAGTCCTGGTGTCTGTCTACAAAGGCACTTTAGTCCACTGAGCTATCTGGCTGGCCCTTGGTGAGCTCTTGTCTCAAAGTAAAAGAATAAGTA